TAAAAACTGCTTATTTATATCTGAACTCAGAAAGGAAAAAGCAAATGGTGAGGACAAGTGATCATGCTCTTGAGCACAAAGGATTCTTGATCGTAGGGGACCCATAAGGGAATCCTTTAAAAGAGAAATTCCCTGTTACAGGGTTTAACCTAAAGAAACTAAATTGATGGACAAAGGATGTTCATTTTATGAGCAAAGATATTTTTCTTTGCTGAATGGGATATAAAAACGGGGAAGAATTGCCCAGTCTGTGGGCTGCAACGTTGATGGCCGCCGCCCTCGTGACATCGTAGATGACTTCAACAGTGGCGCACTGGAATGCCCAGCTAAACAGTACAAAGGAAAACATTTCAAGGAAGGATCATTTGACAGCTTCCTCCCCACCCACCCCTCCGAAAAAAAAACTAGGGGAAGATGAAGAGGAGGGGGTCAGGAGTGCTGACTGGGAAGATGTTGAATTTTGCAAGAAAGAACCCACCTAGTGGGGAAATAAGTTCCTTCCATGTGCAGTGCAGAGACAATCTCCCCTTTTCCTCATGAGCTCTAAAGCAGAGTATCAGTTTCTTGTTTAAAAAAAAACGTTTTGTTCAGACTTACAACCCTCATCCCCCATGTATTACTAATAAAAAAAAAAGTCAATTGAATTCAACCAGCTTTTGTGATCTAACCATTACTCAGAGCTGGAGGTGGTTTTCCATGAAAGCATCTCCCCGTCACTCTTACTTTCTGACCTGTGAACGCTCTTATTAGCTGCCTTATTAAGATGATATCCTGTCTCTGAAGTAAGAAGATTATCTCCTTACCTGACATGTCATTATCAAAGTCATCTTGGTTCCCTCCCCAACCAAAAAAAAAAAAAAAAAAAAACTGATTGTTAACTATGTTAACTAGACATTTAAATGTATGGTACACTGAGCTATCTGTGGGAGCACATTTATAAGGGAATATACTTAGAGGTAGCTAGTTGAACCGTAATGACTTACTCTTTCATGACTAGCAAACAAAGCCAGAAACTAAGACCGATCTGCTTTATCTAAGGTTGGTTTTGGCTGGGGGCAATATCTGCACATTAAGGACTCATAGGATGAAACAAGAAACACATTAAAATCACCAAATATAGAATGCCATATGCATTTTGCATATGCTACATATGCCTGTTATTTGGATATGCAAACCTGTGTACTTTCTTTTTTTTTTTTTTGAGACAGAATCTCACTGTGTTGCCCGGGCTAGAGTGCCCTGGCGTCAGCCTAGCTCACAGCAACCTCAAACTCCTGGGCTCAAGCGATCCTCCTGCCTCAGCCTCCCGAGTAGCTGGGACTACAGGCATGCGCCACCATACCCGGCTAATTTTTTGTATATATTTTTAGTTGTCCAATTAATTTCTTTCTAATTTTAGTAGAGACGGGGTCTCGCTCTTGCTCAGGCTGGTCTCGAACTCCTGAGCTCTAACACTCCGCCTGCCTCGGCCTCCCAGAGAGCTAGGATTACAGGCATGAGCCACCGCGCCCGGCCTGTACTTTCTAATCAAAAAATATTGGGGGAGGAGGAGCAGTCTTGAAGATGACTTGCTGTATTTGGGTGAATCAAAGGCAGTGATGTGCACAGAGAAGCCACCGTGACTCCCGGTCCCCTACCTATGTCCTCCTCGTGTTCAGACTCCTCTGGGCTGATGACCACAGAGCACTGCTGAGAAAGTGGTCAGCCTGTTGGCTCATTTCCAACCCCTTTTCAAAAAGGGGTTGGAATACAACCAGCTGCCTCCACCCAACAAAACAGAAAATTCATTTGGCTTACTCTCCCAGAATTGCTATGTTTGGTTTCCTTCGCAGAAAACCCGAGAAGCCCGGGCCCTATTCTTATCCCTGTCCACGGGACAGCCTGTCAATTGTAGGATGCTTTGACCTCTGAGCTGCCTTTGGTCTCACTGACCACGGAGAGAGAAGGTAGGTGGCAGTGCTTAAATTACATGCAATACAGACACAGTATGTAATATTATTTTTATAATTTATAAGAGCGTATTAGTCTTAATGGACGACTAAGAGTGGTAATAATGTCACAGTGGGGACCATCTTTTCCAAGGGACAGTTGAGTTACTCCACTTCCATCCTCATCTGAGTGTGGGCCCGGGGACCCTTCTCCCCTCTTTGATGGAATTGGGGCTTCTCTCTGCAGGGACTGGACAGAACCAAGTGCTCAGCTCAAGAGCACCTGGCCTCGCTCTTCCTTGGGACACGCCCTCCCGGGTGACCCCACAAGTCCTTATGAAATGTCCTGGAGCCAGGAGTTCAGTTCATGGAGACAAGATTCCTTCACAGAGCATCTTTTCACTTCTCTGTTGACTTGTTTCCATTCCTACTTCTCTTCTCAGAGCAGCTCAAATTGGCAGTTTGAATCCACAATTCCCTTTGTGACTTAGGTCCCCGAGACATTCGATATTACCTTTCCTGCTCTGCTCCTTGCTGTCAGTGGAGATTAATAACCTGTGTGTTTTGGCATTTGCAGTGGGCCTCCTGGCCAGTGAGAAAATGAACAAATCTGTCCATCTTCCCTTTTCCACTCTGCCACACCTGGCACGCACAGAAGAGCCCGAGAGGTGATATCGCCTTGGCTTGCCATACAACTCCTGTTCCTAATCTTGAAGTGACAGAATTTGGATTTAGTGACAGGATGAGGGCTGCCATGACAACCAACCAATGCTAGGCACCCCATAAGAGGGCATTTTTGACAGGTCCTTGCAAAGCTTGCCCTTTGGGCGGGGACCATGTCGCCTGTATTTGTGCACCTATATTTGGTGGGGACCACATCGCCTATATATGACATACCTAGGGATGTTTGGCCCTTTATGCCTTCAAAACACCGTGCAAATATTGACAAGTGTCCATCTAAAGGAAATAGCAAAACCTTATTTTATAATTTGGGAAATAAGACCCATGTTACTTTAAGAAGTAGGCTAGGATTTGGGCCTTTCTCTAGGCTCACAGCACATGAAGCCAAAATTCAACCAAAACATTAGTCTTGCCACTGTGACCCAAAGGGAGCAAAGGGCAGGAACTGGAAATATTGTGTGGCTTTCTGTATAATTTTTCTTTTATTTAGTTCTAGTGTATTGGTTCCTTCAATTCAGAATTCCCCAGGCTTCTTTAAGCAACTTGGGCCTTTCAGTGGATGCATCAGGAAGGTCCTTCTCTCTCTCCCATTAGCCTCTCTCCCCGGGTGTGCCAATATGCAATCAATCATCCATTCCATATCCGCACAGATATGAGGAAACTTTCAACTTTTTCTAAATATGTAAAAAAAAAAAAAAAATTCACATCTGTTTATATACTTTAAAAAGAAAAAAGCCAGGAGAGTTCAACAGGAATACAACAGACACCAAAAAGAACAGGAAGAAAAACGCCTTTTATTAGAAGTCTCGTATGTACAGGCAAAACTGTTTCTCGCAGCTCAGGGACAGCTTCGAGAAAGAGCCACTGTCATCCAAGCTCGTGGCGCTTACGTGGGTAACGCCGTTTAGACACTGCTGCATATTATTAACACACAGAACCATGGCACAGAAATGCAAAAGTGACACAGGTACAACGTGTGGACGCTTCACAGAGTTTCTTAAAAAACAAGTCGACACAAAAATACAATGTGCCAGTAAAAAAAAAAAAAAAATAGGCATATCAATACACGTCTTTTTTTTTTTTTTTTTTTGTTAATACATAGTACGCTGAGCTTTCATCTCCAGCTCTTTTCACACCGGGATGTGCAGGCACTTTAGCAATCCAGCCACGGTTTACAATCCAGGACGTTCAGACCAACAGATGAAGACGGGAGTCCTCCTGCCCCGCACGCACATCAGAACGTTGACACGAGAGCCATCTTTGTGTTACCGCCGTTTGGGGACACCGAAATGTTCTCTGTGTGATGTGTGACAGCTTTTCCCTTTATTGGTCTTTTCCCTTTATGGGGCTTTTATGTTTCATGGCGGAGTTACTTAGTGATGTGGCATCACCGGGCAGAGGTACAATGGGTGGACACACAAGACACGCATCAGTTTGTGACCGACTTTTTTGAAAACGTACAGAGCGGATGGGATTTTAGAATCCAAAAATGTCTGATTTATCTTTGTCCCACTCTTTGCCCTTCCTGCCAACATGTCTAAACAAAAACTAATTAAAATAACGACTGGATGTCCTGGGCCACGAACTCATCCTGGGAGAGTTCTTTTCTGCGTTCCCACTGCCCACCCGGTGGGACACATGGGGCTGATGGGCAGGCCTGGTCCTCCCCCACCGGGGGTCGCTCCCGTCTGGGCCCCCACATTTCCTGCGCTAGGCTGTGGTGACTCAACACGTGTGTCAGGAACACGACTGAACAAGTGTATTTATAAACACAGACTAGAAGCATCACTTTATTGGTGATGTTGAGTTCTAAGGCAGTTACAAAAGGACTTCCATGACAACCAGACAGTGCTGGGATATGGCTTAGCTTCTTTTAATAGGGTGATGGAACTTTCCTGTTGCAAGGAGCTGAGAAAGAAAAGGGAAACCCATACTGATTACAAAGTCCTACAAACGACTGTGCTGTGAAGTCCCAGGAAGCCCCGATTTTTGGTGTATGTCACCCACTTTCATCTACTGCAGACTGAGATGTCGCCTGGTAGCTGATAGAACTTAGAGGGAAAAACAGGGACTCACATCACCCTCCACTTCAAGTTAACGTGTCACCACAGGTTGTACGGAGCGGTCACGACAAAGCCACAGACAGCTCGTGAGGTGGGCCAAGACTCCTGGTACCCCCGAGAGACACAGCACGCGAATGCCTTGAACAGGTGATTGTCAGATGGCGGGAAATCCTTCCGGGAAACAGACATGAGACATCGTGGCAAAGACATTAAGGCCTCCCATTTCTTTGCCCATACTGCTTAAAGGCACTGATACCAACAACAGAAAGATTCCATAGTACCATCGAGGTTTTAAAAAAAGAAACAACTCCCAAAATACAAGTCTTCGTAGGAAAATGTCTCTTATTGCATGACATGAAGCATCCACTGTTCTCGTGCTCAGGAATAGAAGGGCCTCCCTTTCTCGGGAGTCTGGAGTCTGTTCAGCCTGGCGACCTGAGAAGGGGAGGGGGGCACGTCTTGCCGGAAGGGCCCCTTGGGAGGGGCGTAATTGGGGTCCTGGACTTTCTTATATGAGTCATAGTTGTTGGGCCCCTCAGGGGCAGGCTGCTTCTTCATCTGTTGCTCTTTCCGCCTCTGTTCCTGGCGAAGGAGCTCCTGGGTCTCCAGCATGACCCTGGCGTTGAAGCCGTGTCCTCCCAGGTAGCCGTTTCTGGAGCCCTGGTAGCTGGAATACCTGGGGTTCTCCTTCGCGCTCTGGAAGCCTTCCCCAGGGGAGTAGCTCTGCTCCCAAGAATCCTGGGACACCGAGCTGGCGTTTTTCCTGCTTTGTCTAGAAAACATAACCCAAAGGTTAGTGAGAGGGTTGGGAGAGGGAGAGAGAGGGAGAGAAGGGGAAGGGATGGATAGAATATGCATTTTAATGTTTTTGCAAATACTACGGTGTTCTGATCGTGTGCCCCATACCAGCTAGAGAATTCAAACACGACTGTCCTCAGCAAAGTCACAGTCTCAGATAAGCAAACAAACAGTCACTATACAGGAGAAAGACATAGATTCAGCTGCTATGCAGAAATAGGGACCTCTTTCTGTGTCTGGGTAGGTACTGCCTGTTCTGCTTAGAGTAACAATATCTCCCGCCATTTGGACACATTGGCAACCACAGAAGTATCAGAGATTTGGCAGCTTCCACAGCAGCAATAATTGCTGGAGTTAGGAAGTTACAATTCAATTCTAAACAAGCAAAACAAATATTTTACACAGCTGCCACCATCATGCCAGAAAGGCTAGCTGATATGAAGTACATGGAATGGATTACAATGCCAGTTCACTTATGAAAGATTTAAGTCTAGACTCCTTTATGATTAAAAATGCAACAGGCAGTCCCTTAAAGACCCGGCTTTCGAGTTGTATATGTCAGCAGTTGACACTCTTCAGAGAACGTGCTCATCGAGATTGTAGAACCTGAAAGTCTGCAGAGCAGGCACTATTTCCTCGCACATTTTACCTTCACCAAAGGCCAAGATAACCCACTTAACTCACATTCTGTCACCCCCAGATAGGGAAATAAATCAGAGTCATACGGAAATTTCAAATTCTCATCGCTTCTGCAATAAAGTTTGCGCGTGATTTTCAGGAAACATTATTGTTTTGAAGCGTCTTTAATTTACTATCAAGTCTCTAGATGCTTTTATGAATTTACAATAAGATTGGCTATGATAAAGTAAGACAATTTTGTGTCAGAAAGGAAGACATGCCCTAATTTTTTTTGCCTCGAAAATGGAAGAGGGGGAGAGCAAATTGAGTAATAAAACAAAATATATTGCTCCATTTATCAATAAGAAAATCATCTGGCGACAGTATGTATTGCTCAGCTTTCCACGTCAACACATGCAACATGGCTGAATGGTTGCTGTTCCCAATGTTTTGGCTGTTCCCAAAAACTCCTGCAGAAGGAAAAAAAGGTTTGTGGAGCCGCTGCGTCTCCCGCAGGAATGAAGTAATGTGCGTTTTTGAACATTGAGAATTGCCATCGATACGGTTTGGAATGAAATCTGCCCATTTTCCATATGGCCTGAACTGTAGTCAAGGGCTATTTTCAGTAAGGAAAATGAACTTAATGTCCAGCGTGTCACTCCCTGGATGTGACACTGATTAATTAACGAGTCTACAGCATGTCTGTCTGGTTCTCTTTTAATGGGAGGCAGACCATTCGTATGATTAGTCCAGGCACGAATCTTTAGATGTGATGGAATAGTTTATTTGCCTAAAGCACTGATCATCTTCACTTAAAAAGTCATAAATTAATCTGCCCAGAGACACGGATGTTGGAAAGCGCCAGCACGAAACCGGGGATTTGACATTAATCATGAAACTTTAATTAAAACTACAAACTTGTTACTGATATTACAGCCACAAAAGTGGGATTCCTTTATGAGTTCGTTATCAATTTAAAGATAATCAGAAATAGGCTACAGAAATTTCACCTCTTTTTCATCCCTGGCCTACTAAGATACTAATCCTCTTCCTTCCCAACTGCGTGAGGCCCGAGGCTCACTCTGCGGCAGGGATGCGCCATAAGTGGAATTCTGAATCATCCCAGGAAGACAGAATATTTCTATATTTAAACAACAGTGAGAATCACTGAATGATGTGGGAAAACAAATTTTTTATAGCTAAAATTTTCTTATCAATCAGTATAGAGAGAAGGAAGCAGACTGCCCTGAGGTTTGAAGATATATGTAAGATACATACAAATATATATGCACAAGCACAGACAGGCTTCCTTGGTAAGGAAGCTAGTGGCATCGTTAGGGAGGGATGAGGGTATACAGGTGGCAGGGCAGGCGACAGGGAGATGTGGTCAAGGGCCAAGGGTTAGGACCAATAAAAGCAGAGGAAAAAAAAATCACACAACAGCAAGAACTTGAGGTTAGAAGACATTTCCTAACCGGGAACACGTACAAAAACTAGGAGCTTGTGACCAAAGGTACCCTTCCTTCATTAACATAGTAAAACTCACAGCCCCTAGTGCCATGACAGCTCAGGAGCCAGCCATACAAGCACTTTGTGTCCGTCATCACTCTGTCACACAGGCCCTACTTGCAATTCTTCCAAACAAGGAGCCAAAAAACGAGGTCAACACCTCTCAAAAACCATACCTGACACTACTGATAAGCCCTTGATTAAGGACAGAATGAGACATGAGCCGACTTTAGGCAAGGAAGCAGACAATAAGAGTTTCCCACACTAGAAAAGTAGGCACCCAGGCAACAGGGTGAGGTCGGAGAGGGGCTTAGGATCAGACAGACATAGATCCATACCCTGAGTCTGCCACTCTCCCGCTGTGTGGCCCTGGGAGAGTTATGTTCACTGGGTCC